ATTCTTTCCCCAACATCGTTAAACTTGTTATACATGATTTCTTTGTAAGTGCCTCATGTATGTATATATATCCCCCACCCCCTTATACTCCCTACCATTAACCTGATGAAGGAGCAAGCATACACTCCGAAACGTCGTGTTATTCGCAATAAAGAAGTGTTGACATCCATAAATCTTGCTTTTCTTATGTATTCCACTTCTAAATGCCCTTCAAAGATTTGATGTTCATGATGTTCACTGATGTTCAGTGGATTGTCTGGTCCAGACTTGATTATTTACAGGCCGCCGCCATATAGCTGGAATATTGCTGAGTGCGGCGTCAAATAATAAACCAACCAACCAAATGCTGCGTCTTCTATGAGACGTCTAGGCCTATTGATGGCCAATGACATTCTATTGATGGTACGTTGTTGGAGGTTACCATTGAGCACTGACACAAAATGTCGACCCATACGCCTTGCTTGCGGGGCAACAAAGTGAGTGAGTGAGTTCAGTTTTACGCCGCACTCAGCAGTATTCCAGCTAATCAAGTCTGGACCAGACAATCCAGGGATCAACATCAGGAGCATCGATCTACGCAATTGGGATACGATGACATGTGTCAATCCAGTCAGCGAGCCTGACCACCCGATCCCGTTAGTCGCCTCTTACGACAAGCATTGGTTGTTGAAGATCAATTCTAACCCGGACCATCACGGGTCCGGGGCAACAAAGGGCGTCAGTGTGTTGCGTTGCACTTTCTATGGTTCACCATTGTTTTGTTGATATTAAATGTGTAATATTCTTTCTTCACGAAAACAAAGTAACATTTAACTGTAATTGATGACAGGTCACCAGTCGGTAGCCAGGGTGATGAGGTCTGCAACACCCAAAGAACTAATGGCGTCAATGAAGGTCAAGTATGTCGACGTAACAGAAGACGTGAAAGGAAAGAAGGAACAGACGTTTGTCTCCTATCACAAACTACTGACACAGAGCAAGGTAGTACGTCGTTTATTTGCTTCTGTGGATTATTTAGATTTACTTTTGTTTGAATAAAAGTTGCTGAAAATAAACGTCCAAGCATAGGCTGGTTACAATGTTTTCAAAAGTAAATTTCGTGGAAATATACCATGTAAACAATGCTGTACTCATGCACAAAATCAGAGTCTAAATCTTGACATTTGCGGATAAATTGTCACAAAAAAATGTTTTAGTGACTTTATTAGAGTAAATGTAACAGTTGTGTGGTTCGATTTCTGTTGAACTGAGAAGCAGAATTCAGGTGAACGCCATGGAATGTTTCACGAGTTTCCTGGTTAAACGCGCGACACGCCATTTCTGCGAATCGTTCAGTTAACGAAGTGATCTAACATAAGTATCATGCTAATAATCAGTATTAAATGATATATATATTAAGGGATTCTCTACGCTGGGTTTATAGACGTGAAACGTGTGAATCCAAAGGCCGAGTAGGTAAGGATTTTCGATTAGCGTAAATTACAGAGGATAATTTGGGTACGATGGCAACATGCAAAAACGACTGCATTGAAGTTGATGACAACACCACTGGCTTCCCGAAAGTTAGCGCCCTTGACGCTTCCCGATTACACCTCCTTATATGAATTCTTACATGAGTACAATGTGTGATGCCAATTTCTGGTACCATCTATAACACCTACTGGCAAATGCTTGTATTATTGCAAGATGGATTGGATTCTTGCAAAGTATTGAGTATATAGACATGTCAGGTACAATAAGAGTGAGTGAGTGGTTGAATGAGTAAATAATCATATCGGAAGTATTTAAAGCATATCGTGAATATGAGAGCTGTATATTAATAAAAACAAACATCTTGATTTAGTGAGTGAGCAGTGTTTTACACCGCTTTTAGCAAAATTCCAGCAATATCCCGGCGGGAGACACCTAAATGGGCTTCACTCATTGTGCCCATGTGGAGAATCGAACCCGGGTTTTCGGCGTTACGAGCCAACGCTTCAACCACTAGGCTATCCCACCGCCCTTACATCTTGAGAGGTTGGCGGATATGCATGAACGTTATGTGTGGTGTTGCAAGAATTAGGTAGACAGATTCAGTGGCAGTGCCATTAGGTTGGAGGCGGTCTGTACATGTCGTTACAGCGAATACCATATCTTGTTCATATCAAGTGGAGCTTTAGAGGTGTGAGCTGCCATGACAATTTCTTACGTCCTCGTGTTGTCCAATTTGTGTAAACACCAGCCATCATTTATGGTGTGACAATACTGGTCCTCACACAACACATGTACTGATTTCCTGCGACCTGAGAACACACACGTGCTGCCGTGACCATCGCCGTCGCCGAATCGCAACCAAGTTATGCATCTGTGGACGACCTGAAGAGGTCATCGTCAGCCAGGGTCTCAGATGACGCAACAACTGCGCAGAATGAGTGAGTGAGTGAGTTAATATTTATCGTCACATCGGCAATATTTCAGCCATATCGTGACGAGAACAGTTTATAATTATATTATAGATCAATAAAGTAGGACATTAAAAAACCTGTTGACGAAGAACAGTAAACTACTAGTGTATCACAGATATCCATTTAAAACTAGCAATTAAAACTAAAATATTGGAATTATAAATGACAATACAATATTAAAACAGGCTATAGATTGCCAACAACTGGAGGTAGATCACCAAACTAGGGACCATGGGGACTTACAGTACATTTGCTTCCTGCATGGGCCCTAGCTGGATTTACATCATCCCCTCAGCCGTTAGCAATTGAAATATATCTAGCCATACATTAAAATTACACATATCATACGATTAAAAAATGGAAAGTTGAAATTTACTTTGAATGTTTTGGGACTTACGTACCCTCTCAGGAGGACAATAATTTTACAGTACTTTAACCCCCCTCGTGGATACAGCCACTAACAATCTGTGTTACTAATTCAAACTTCCAATCATAAAATATTTAGCTATTTACAAATCTGTTAACAAATTTAATTCTTTTAAAAAAGCAATAATTAAATGAGGACTTATTTTATTAAAAAGATCCTTCATAGTTCGGGATTTGAAAGAGATATCCCTTGTGATGGAGTACTCAACACAGTCAAGCAAGACATGCTTGACCGTGATTCGTTCATCACAAGGGATAGAAAACGGAGGATCCTCACCTTTTAATAGGTACTCGTGCGTATATCTTGTGTGGCCAATACGACATCGTCGTATGATGACCTCGTCAAATCTGGACTGACAACACAAGTCAGTGTAACCGATATAGGGTTTTATTTCATGTAATTTATTGATACCTACTTGGGTGTCCCACTTCTTTTGCATCAGATCACGGATATAAGATCTTATAGCAGCTTTGTAATCAGATTATGGGATCAGAAGTGGTGTCACAGATTTGTTGAGTGCTGCCTTGGCAGCAAGATCGGCCATTGTATTCCAAGAAATGCCAACGTGGCTGGGTAACCAACAGAGGACGATGTCGTATTGGCCAGTTGCAAGATCATTTTATAATTCTATAATTTCTAATAAAAGTGGATGTTTACGAAAAATATTTTTTATCGCCTGAAGGAAGGAAAGAGAGTCAGAAAAGATTATGTATTGTTTATATTTAGGGTGTCTATTTATATATTTAAGAGCTGTTAAGATTGCGTTTGCTTCTGCTGTGAAAATTGAACTGTCATTGGGCTATCTGGAAGATATTGTTTTGGACCCAATGACAGTGGCACAAGCAACCGCGCCACCATCCTTGGACCCATCTGTGAATAAGGATTTATATGTATTATATTTACTTTTTAATTGATTATATTCTTGTTTATATAGTAAGTCATTAGTTTCTGATTTTGTAAATGTAGTGAGTGTTAGGTCGACTTTTGGCCTAACCAATTGCCAACGAGGAGAAGAAAGAAGACGGGAAGGAGATATATTTTCCAGTTCAATGCCGAAGGCAGTATTGAATGGCTTAATCCTGAGCCCAAGAGGCGGAACAAGAGAAGATTTCTTGTTGTACAAATCCTCATAAAGAGGTTTAAAGATACAGTGAAATGCAGGATTAGACTCGTTAGAATATCGTTTGGTAATATATTGTAATGATAGTTTTATACGGCGTTGTGCAAGAGAAGGCTCATCGGCCTCGACGTAGAGACTGTCAACAGGAGATGTTCTGAATGATCCAAGACAAAGTCTCAGACCTTGGTGGTGGACAGAATCTAATAGTTTTAAGTTGCTTATGCGCAGGCTCCACCATATACGATGGAGCCATAATCAAGCTTCGAGCGGACCAATGATCTATACAGGTGTAGGAGGGTAGTTTGGTCCCCTCCCCACTTTGAATTAGAAACGACTTTCAATAAATCAAGTGCCTTCAGGCATTTAGTTTTTAGGGATTTGATATGCGGAAGAAAGGTTAAATGGGAGTCAAAAATCAGACCTAAGAACTTGGCCTCTTTCACAACCTTGATGGGAGTGCCATTTAAAAACAGTTCTGGGTCTTTATGTGGTTTATATTTACGGCAGAAATGTATGCAATTAGTTTTTGATTTAGAAAATTTAAAGCCGTTTTCAAGACACACGCAGAATGAACTGCCATTATATACGTGTCACCCGCAAGCCTCTTTGCTCAATGGACACGAGGCGTCATGGAATCCTACATGCAGATATTGATCACACACGGTGCTAGAGTTTACAAATGCCGTGCTGAACCATAGACGTCACCGACTGATACAAAAAATTGTACAATCACCTTTGACGTTGTCCAACGTATCACATGTACAACTTGGCAGAATCAGAAATCTGAATGGTTTACTTTAAAACACACACATGGGTTTCTATTTTGGGTGACTGTACAAAACATGAAAACAAACGTACATATTTAGACATATGCACATATTTCTAGTTTTGATATGGTTTGCGTTTTGGGTAATGTGCAATCTGGTCCATACGGAACTACTTATATTCTTACCATATTTTGTTCTCTAGGAAGGTGGCAGTCAGAAAGACCTGTATGTGAGGGTAGCAAGAAATGACAACGTAACTGGCGAAGACATAGAAGAGTGTCTGAAAGAAATTCGTAGAATAACCGCACGTATGTTATTAAATGTTCATCATACTGCTTACATCTTTAGATGAATTAATAACCCATTAGAAGTACCCTCGGCAATCTATAACACCTATTGGCAAATGTTTGTATTAATGCAAAATGGACTGGATTCTAGCAAAGGAAGGAATATATAGCTCTCTGGGACGCTGTCAGGTACAATAAGAGTGAGTGGTTGAATGAGTAAATACTCACATCGGAAGTATTTCAACCATACCGTGAATATGAGAGTTGTATTATAATAAACACTAACTCAGACAGAATAAATCCCTCTCGACAAAGGACAGTAAAACAACCAGACTATCAGATACAATGACTTTACACTGATCCTCTGACAAGGGTAATAACAATGCAGCATTATGATCATGTATTTGATGGTGGCTATTCTGATTTGGCGTAAATGAAAAGAAAAAGTGAGAAAAAGTGCCAATTATCACCGAAAGTCCCCACTGAAAACCTTTTCGACTGTACGATACCGTTTATACACTGAGCAGATACTGATGATAATAGTGATCGCGGCAATAATGTCACTAATAATCCATCACAAACACATGCAAAGGCAAGTCAATTGTTCATCTCGTAAAGCTAACTCATTTCCGAAATGCAGCTTTACTGAATATATGCTATATGTCATATATATTCGAATATAACTTATATTGCAGATCATGATGCTATCGTGAGAATCAATCAAGTTATATCAAAACAAAATACGAAGGGGCTCATGGCTGCCTTACAGGTCCAACATGCTGAGCTTGAATTGCCTTCACCATCAGAGGAGAGAGCAGAAAGGGAAAGAGAATACCAGATACTAATGTACGAGGCTTACACAGATAAGGTACATCTACATCCATACCTTCCATTTACTAGCGGTATGGCAATGAAGCCTCAGCCATTTGGAATTCCGATGAGTTGACTCTCGTCAACCTAGGCTTATTATAAATGGCGACTATATCAGGCCTACCAAAGAAAACTTTCCCACTGTTCAGAAAAACGCAGAAAGTCCACATTAATCGTGGAAATAGCAACATAAACATAATACCTCGCTACTGAAACAGTAAAATACGGCACTTTTAAATCGCTAAAACTGGATAAAAAAACGAAGAGCTTGCAATGTAGGTTTTGCATGCGCACATGGAAGAGGAAGTCTCCACCGACATTTTCCAGCTTGGGCAAAAGTTACATTCCCTTTTTAAAGTATTTTTGTTTTGTTATTTGGCATTTACCATCAAGATACTTGTGTAAACACTTGGTTAGCTTACTTTCCATTCGTATGAAATGATTGACAGACATTATTTCGACATGTTCAATACTTTTTGTACGCGAGGCGATTCAAGGTTGCTCGGGAATACTTTTCCAGGTCAGATCGTAACGCGCATGCGCAGTAGAGGTCAAAGTTCGCAGATATAAAAATGTTGCAGTTTCATAGTTTTTCGTTGCGGTTTTTACTGTTTCAGTAGCGAGGTAATATGTTTTTGTTGCTAGTTCCACGATTAATGTGGACTTTTCTGCGTTTTTTTCTGCCCAGTGGGAAAGTTTTCTTTGGTAGGCCTGCATATGGTGGTTAGACTTGGCGATATGTCTGATGTCATGTTATCGAGGTCCGATGACATGAGTTGTTGTTCATAATGTCCACCACTGGTTTGCCTGGTTACTTACGGGCCGTGGTCACATTGCTCTTACGATCTAGACAATTTAGTGACAAATGTGAGATTATGAAGAATGATTGTTTTTATAATGTTCATAACAATTGTGTGACAAACTATTGTACATGCGAAGGATGATGTTTTGAAGGCGCACAAAGGAACCGATATCAGAATGGAGAAAGATGATATCCAGAAAGTCCTATTGAGTAAGTATCGCTATTGATACATGAGATTATTTGAATCTTTTGAATCGTGTTGGAAAGTATCTCTATTAATAGATGAGATAATTTGAATCTTTGGAATAGTATTGGAAAGTATCGCTATTAATAGATGAGATAATTTGAATCTTTGGAATTGTGTTGGAAAGTATCGCTATGAATAGATGAGATCATTTGAATCTCTGGAATCATGTTTGAAAGTATCGCTATGAATAGATGAGATCATTTGAAACTCTGGACTCATGTTTGAAAGTATCGCTATGAATAGATGAGATCATTTGAATCTTTGGAATTGTGTTGGAAAGTATCGCTATGAATAGATGAGATCATTTGAATCTCTGGAATCATGTTTGAAAGTATCGCTATGAATAGATGAGATCATTTGAATCTTTGGAATTGTGTTCGAAAGTATCGCTATGAATAGATGAGATCATTTGAATCTCTGGAATCATGTTGGAAAGTATCGGTATTAATAGATGAGATCATTTGAACCTTTGGAATCATGTTTGAAAGTATCACTTTGAATAAATGAGATCATTTGAATCTCTGGAATCGTGTTGGGAAGTATCGCTATTAATATATGAGATCATTTGAACCTTTGGAATCGTGTTTGAAAGTATCGCTATTAATAGATGAGATCATTTGAACCTTTGGAATCATGTTTGAAAGTATCGCTTTGAATAGATGAGATTATTTGAATCTTAGGAATTGTGTTGGAAAGTATCGCTATTAATATATGAGATCATTTGAATCTCTGGAATCATGTTGGAAAGTATCGCTATTAATAGATGAGATAATTTGAATCTTTGGATTCGTGTTGGAAAGTATCGCTATTAATATATGAGATCATTTGAACCTTTGGAATCATGTTTGAAAGTATCGCTTTGAATAGATGAGATTATTTGAATCTTAGGAATTGTGTTGGAAAGTATCGCTATTAATATATGAGATAATTTGAATCTTTGGAATTGTGTTGGAAAGTATCGCTATTAACAGATGAGATCATTTGAATCTTTGGAATTGTGTTGGAAAGTATCGCTATTAATATATGAGATAATTTGAATCTTTGGATTCGTGTTGGAAAGTATGGCTATTAATAGAATAGATCATTTGAACCTTTGGAATCATGTTTGAAAGTATCGCTTTGAATAGATGAGATTATTTGAATCTTTGGAATTGTGTTGGAAAGTATCGCTATTAATATATGAGATCATTTGAATCTCTGGAATCATGTTGGAAAGTATCGCTATGAATAGATGAGATCATTTGAATTTCTGGAATAATGTTGGAAAGTATTGCTATTAATAGATGAGATCATTTGAATCTTTGGAATTGTGTTGGAAAGTATCGCTATTAATAGATGAGATCATTTGAATCTTTGGAATTGTGTTGGAAAGTATCGCTATTAATAGATGAGATCATTTGAATCTTTGGAATTGTGTTGGAAAGTATCGCTATTAATAGATGAGATCATTTGAATCTTTGGAATTGTGTTGGAAAGTATCGCTATTAATAGATGAGATCATTTGAATCTTTGGAATCGTGTTGGAAAGTATGGCTATTAATAGATGAGATCATTTGAATCTTTGGAATTGTGTTGGAAAGTATCGCTATTAATATATGAGATCATTTGAATCTTTGGAATTGTGTTGGAAAGTATCGCTATTAATAGATGAGATCATTTGAATCTTTGGAATTGTGTTGGAAAGTATTGCTATTAATAGATGAGATCATTTGAATCTTTGGAATTGTGTTGGAAAGTATCGCTATTAATAGATGAGATCATTTGAATCTTTGGAATTGTGTTGGAAAGTATTGCTATTAATAGATGAGATCATTTGAATCTTTGGAATCGTGTTGGAAAGCATCGCTATTAATAGATGAGATCATTTGAATCTTTGGAATTGTGTTGGAAAGTATCGCTTTGAATAGATGAGATTATTTGAATCTTTGGAATTGTGTTGGAAAGTATCGCTATTAATAGATGAGATCATTTGAATCTTTGGAATTGTGTTGGAAAGTATCGCTATTAAAAGATGAGATCATTTGAATCTTTGGAATTGTGTTGGGAAGTATCGCTATTAATAGATGAGATTATTTGAATCTTTGGATTAGTGTTGGAAAGTATCGCTATTAATAGATGAGATAATTTGAACATTTGGAATCATGTTTAAAAGTATCGCTTTGAATAGATGAGATTATTTGAATCTTTGAAATCGTGTTGGAAGGTATTGCTATTAATAGATGAGATTATTTGAATCTTTGAAATCGTGTTGGAAGGTATCGCTATTAATAGATGAGATCATGGAATCTTTGGAATCGTTTTGGAAAGTCTTAAAATTGATTCGAATTGGAACACATTACCCTACAAGGTCTAAATATCTATTTCTCAACATTTTTCAGGTCTGGATATACTTCAGGAAATAGATACATTAGAAGACACACAGACGAAGAAATTATTGGAAAATCTCAGAAAAGATGAAATGGACATCAGTGAATACATTGTGGACAATATGGACGAATCTGAGGAGCGTTGCTACGCAACGTTGATTTTTGAGAAGCGAGACAAGAAAAGAAAGGTACAGCCTTTGTTTGGAAGTGCAAACGAAATGTATTTTCTGGTTGATTTGCAATGTTAATAATATGAATCTTTTAAGATAATTACAGTAGCGTAAATGATACAATGAACATCTGGAGACAGGTTACGTTAAAGTAATAGTCGTCCTCACACAAGCCTTTATAAGTTTATAAACATGATACAAATGCATATAACAATGAGTACGATGACAATAACATCAATATGATCGTTACAGCCTGGATTGCAATTGTATCAGATTTCAGCAGCTGTGATTATGCCGTACTAACGGCAAACTACGTTTATAACTGTAGTGGTATAGTTTATATATAAATGACAGTAGCCTGTACATAGGCATGTTATACAGATTGTATTTCATCCTTATTCTAGGACAGGAGCAACAGGAACAGTTGCAAATTCTTGACACGTCGAGAAGTAAAAGACATTGTCAAAGGTATGGTACTTAAAGGATCGCTTATTTTGGACTGCCTATAACACGATTAGTGCTTTTACGCACTAAAATGCACATTTAAATCGGGGAAAATGTAGGTTAAAACATTTATTCAGACCAGAACAACGGTTCTAAATGAGTATTGTAAACATATGGAAATGTAGAGAATGTGCAACGACGAGACGTCTCATGGACATGGGACCATGCCGACCATGGATGGGAAAGTTCTTGGCACACGGGGGTAGGAAAAAAGCACAGATATTTTTTAGGTTTGCCAGACTCCCGATATAATCGTGACATGAATTGTGGTGTACCCTATGGATGTATGTCTTAAAGGGCATGACCAGTATTTGATAGTATTGCAGAAAACTTCATATGGAGAGAATCTATATCAAGAGACAGTGCATGGCTAAATTAGTCAACTGTAGGGCTGGCTAAAATGATCGATAATCGGATAATATCATCGTTTGGATATTGTTATTGATTATCGATATGAAAATTGTTTTCTATAATATCGTATATCAGCTTTTGTGACAGAAAAAAAGGTTGAACCTTTTTCACACAATATACAAATTTAGCACTTTATTCATGGTATGCTTCTAAATTATGTTCAGGGCGCTGTTTTGATAGTAATGCATGCAAAACATGCCGGCTCTCATCAGTGAAGTGAAATATATTCATTTCTTTTAAACATTTTGGACATTTCTGCTCAAAGTTACGTCTCAGATATTTATCGATAATGATCGATATTAAGTTAACGATCTATATCCAGCCCTTGTCAATTACATTGCATATTTACTGGTTTAAACTCTCAAGGGGTTCACATTAAATAATCCAGTGATCTCTACATGTATTCAGGGCGGTGGGGTAGCCTAGTGGTTAAAGCGTCCGCTCGTCACGCCGATGACCCGGGTTCGATTCCCACGTCATGGGTACAATGTGTGAAGCCCATTTCTGGTGTCCCCCGCCGTGATATTGCTGGAATATTGCTAAAAGCGGCGTGAAACCATACTCCTTCACTCACTACATGTATTCGTCATTTTCTCTGACCGTTAATTTACTCAATCATACGTGTTGACGTTGATCTTATTATTGCTCTTGTTAATTAAAAGATAAATAGTTTGGTTTGTTCAATTTCCGGGATTCATTGGAATTCAACATAGGCAAATTTAGTTTAAAACCGACTGCGTCAGAAAATGACGAATACATGTAGTGAGTGAAGTAGTATGGCTGACTCCGTCGGTTTAAAACTTAATTTGCTTATGTTGAATTCCAATGAATCCCGGAAATTGAACAAACCAAATTATTTATCGATATTGTAAACCAATTTGTAGTAAGAAGCGTTTTTTCAAGGAACTCTTTGAATGTAGCGCGATCGTGGGTTCTATCACTTTACTATTATCTGATCACATATGATTATATGCCATGGGATTGTACTCCCCATCATCTTTGAATAATTAATTCTTCCAAGAATTTGTCGTCTTCGAAGATTGTGAAAATCCCCCCGAAAGAAAGTGAGGTGGTAATCGATCCATTATGCAAATTCATGCAGCGAAAGTAGTACGGTATTAGTGCCAACGTATAAATGTGTGGTTAATAGGCCATAATTTTCAGGTATGTCGAACACTATTCGACAAGGGTAATTAACCAATCAGATTGCGGAAAACACTCACTATTGGTTTACAATTGAATATAACAGATACCATTCATAGGCTTGACATAAGAAATCTTTACTGAACGAAATCGATTTTACGATCAAGGCTGAATCAGAGGCATTTATTTATAAATCACTATAAAATACTGATGATACCAGTGATCATACCCGTGAAGATCCGGGTTAGAACTGATCTTCAGCAACCCATGTTTGTCGTAAGACGCGACTAACGGGATCGGGTGGTCAGGCTTGCTGACTTGGTTGACACATGTCATCGTATCCCAATTGTCTATATTGATGCTCATACCGTTGATGACAGGATTGTCTGGTCTAGGCTTGATTATTTACAGACCGCCGCCATATGGAATATAGCTGGAATATTGCTGAGAGCAGCCCTAAACACCAATCAACAAAAAACATCAAATAATAAAATATACTTATACCAAAACCATACAAATACGTTGTGACTTCAGAATTCAAGGCCGTTTGGGATATACAGCGAAGAGATTCACAAAAGTTGAAGGAACATTGGGACAGAGTGCTCCGAGATGCCAAACTTGATCCAAATAACTTTGAAAAGTTAGAGGGCTATCGAAAGCTCTTTAAAGAGGACATTGAATATAAGGTATTGCTTAAACATTTTCTTGATTTCCTATTTTCGAGTGTATTTCGAATCCCCAGTTCGCCAATGTGTTGATTCTTGGTTTATCAGGACCATATCTGCGGCACAAGGGCGGAGAAAGTCCTATTTCATGTCTGACGTTCAATGTTCCTCTCAGACCTTATTGTAGCCGTTATTCCAGCCTGTGTGATAACGCCAAACTTCCAAAGTGGTTAAACCCTGAAGGTATAGGTTAGAATCTGTTTACTAAGCCTGATTCCAAGCCTGTCATAAGAGGGATCGGGCGGTGAATCTCGCATGTCATTGTATCCTAGTCGCGTAGATCGATGCTCATGATGTCAATCACTGGGTTGTCTGGCTCAGATCTGGTGTGACCTATTGACTGGGTCGGTGTCTGGTACAACTAGGAAGCCTTGTTCACGTGCATATATCTCGACTCAAGAGAGTCACGGGTTGGCAGCCATTATGGCCGTCCCTGGCGCTGTTGTACTGTTGATGAGGACGTCCTGTGTATTCGATTAAATTACGTATGACGTCACTCTGCGAGGTTCAGAATGCAAGCATTCCTTATGGTGAAATCGAAAACGGTGCATTTGAACTCTTCCCAGGAGTTCTCAGAGGGCAATGGGATCTGGCCAGTTTTAAGACGGGATTAGTAGCAATTCCTCCTGATCGTTAATTATATCTATATACTTATTATAATGTATAATAATGCAACAGACATTTCGTTCGTTTAGTTACTTTAATCCTTCATAAACATTTACCCAGGTTCAAAACGAGATATTGATACAGTAAAATGCGTCTAAAACGACCACGCTTATTACGAAACGACGGATATAATGAGCAGTTTAGGTCCCGGTTTATATTTTTGAAGAAATGCGTATCATGCATGCTTTTGACTTCGTTATAATATAACCGTGGATTACTATTAGGCGTGTAAGTGAAAAACACACGTCACCAGAATTATATTGTAATTGTACAGCTCATATGGTAAAACAATTATTACTTTTTCAAATTAGTTCGTTTATGTTGTTCCGCTGATGACTATATTCATTCTGTGCAACAGCAACAGAAACGGAAAAATGCATCCTCAAGTCGTGGATTTGAAAATCTTCTGAAACAGCAAGATGTCCAGCGCATTATGTTTAAATGTAGGTATCTTCACGGAATTTAATGTATATGCACAGGGTTTACAACACTGAGCAACAACATTTGTAAGGAATTGCATGAGCTCTGAATATGTCCAGGGCATCAAGTACCATGTTCATCGTTCCACTGGAATGTAAAGCTATACCTATATTCAGTTCTCATAACACACAACCGCCATCGAGGACATATGATAGAGCTCGTCTCTCCGGAAAGAGAAAAATCGGTGGATTGGTCCCTGGCCATGTCAGATCAAAATACTTTTAAAAGTCTGCTGAAAAATGTTCTCAGAAAAAAAGTACCGGAAAACAGTCCTAAATTTGCCTAGGAAAAAAAGTCCTATTTTGCAAAAGGATTTTTTGACAAAAGAATAAAAAGTATTTTTTTAGTTTTTCATAGTTTTTCATAGCGTTTATTGACTTTCATGTATTGCATATTCATACAACAAATGTAAAATAGACACATCCTGAAAACATTGTTTTAAAGATCAAAGATCAATTTGAATATCTAATCTGTCCGTTATAATCACTAAAAGTAAGTACTTCATGTAAATGTCAGACACTTTGACACTATTAACTCTTGCCTTTGAAAACACTGTTTTAAAGATCAAAGATCAATTTGAATATCTATTCTGTCCGTTATCATCACAAAATGAAAGTATTTCATGTTTTTACATGTCATTTAAGAGATCAAAGACATATCTAAATATTTAATCCGTCCTTTTAATCACCCTTTGTATGTGAGTACTTCGTGTTTTTACAAGTGTCATTAAAAAGATAAAATATCAATTATCTATTTAATAACCCATATGTGTGAGTTATCAATGTTTTTTTCTAAAATCTTTGACCTCAAAGTAGATGAATAAATAGGTTTTTATTACAATAGGACTTTTTTTCCTGAGTGGTTTTTTCCCGTACTTTTTTACCGAGGACTTTTGTTTCCAAGGACTTTTTTCCTACAATCCTTTTAAAGACCAGGGTCCCGATCCACAAAGCATCCGTAACGTTGCGACCTGTCGTAACTCTATAGTTTATTGATGATAGGCTTACGAATGTGAATGTCCCGGAGCTCAGCAGTACTACTGTTTGCCTCGGTATAGTCTGTGAGACAAATGTATCCAGGTAAAACCACAACATGATATCTCAGTGGGTAACATAAAAGCATCATTATTCAAGAAACGTACAATCACATAAACATTTAGACACTGTTCAACAGTATGTAATAACCCATCGCGCTGCCAAATGTTTAAAACGCTTTCATACTTTACAGAAAGGATATTCAAATAATGTGTTAACCCTTTTGTTTGCCTTTTTGGGAGGTTATAATGTAATCTACGTAAATCAATATGTGTAATCAAAGATACTATTTAGATTTGTTTGATTTTAGTGTACCCGGCTATCATCAGGATAAACGAAATAATAGAAGCATTCATCGTTGCCAAAGAGAAACGTGAAGAGAAAAGGGTCATCGATGATCTCGAAAAGAAATGCCACAGAGCCATAACTGCTCCGTCCGCTGAACTGGTGAAGGGAATTGTTGTGAACAACAAGCAGAAAGGGTATCTCACAATGCTGTCTGGAACAATAGGCGACGCCACACAAAGCACAGAGGTCAGAGCTTATTCACTTACTGTGAGAGAAAACTGTTTTACTTACATCCCTTTAGAGCATGCCTCGGCGTATGTTCGAGACTTAATGGCGTTGATATTTCAAATTTGTAACTAACCCTGCACTACTTACTTCCTGCACTTATTGCTTACGGGTCGAAAAGCGTGGCTTGCCAGACGATGTTAAAAGACGTAGAACTGCAATCACTTCCTGGTCTCGGCTGCTACTCGTCTGCGCATGCGTCACCAGAATGTGACGTCAGCCACCTCAGATTATTGCTTTTCGCACGCCAACTCTTCATTGTATCCTACGGGATTTTTTGTGTGTAGTTGTTGAACTGACTTTGTGTGTATTATTATACTTTTTCCTCTACGAGAAGTGTGGGTATTATCTTCCATTTTTTCTTGGTATTTTAATTATGTAGTTCTGTTTAGTGATGTCGTACGTTTATAACACGGTCCCGTCATCACTTTATCACTTTCCCATTTCAACACTTCGCCGTATTTGTAAGTCGTTGTGTTTTATTTGGTTCAGGCTTATATATTATACCATATAGTAGTGGTATTTTTATTATGTCTGTATTATGGTCTCTTTATCATACAGTTCTTTGAGATGTTGTTCTCAATTATGCGCTTGGCGCTTCCTCGCCTCCTACGTTCTTGCTGATGTTGTCACCGCAACGGCCGATGGGTCAACAGTTTGCGCCGTGTCAGGCGCCCCAGGCTCCTGTGTCACAGTCCTTTCCAGTGTTCCCGGGGCAGGCGCCTTATGCGTATCACCCGTCTACAGGTTTTCCAATGCCTCAGGCGCCTATGATGCAGGCGCCATACGGCCAACAGCAGTTTGATGTGTCCACGCTCAGCACTCTCTATACTTTATTATCAGGTCAAGCCGGTACCTCAGCGCCTATGCCGTTCATGCCTCCAACAACATTGGCGCCTCTCCCTCCTACAGTGCCTCCAGCACCTTTGCCACCTCTGCCACCTCTGACGCTTACGGCGCCTATGCCTCCTCCAGCACCGGTGCCTATCCTGTCTACTGTGTCAGCTCATGTGCCTACGCCAACGTCTCCCGTTGCCTCCACGTCCTCGGCAGGCGACCATAGGTCGATATCTCGGCACAAGGCGTCTTCTTCTAAGGCGTCGTCTGAACGTAGCCGTTCGCCCTTGCTGTTTCGTTCACCGTCCTCAGAGAGAGACTTTGCCCCAGACTATGATGAGGATTTGGGATCTAATCACCTTGGTTTTGATCACGTGTTTCACTGGACTGCTGATCGTTTGGTAGCCTCAGTCGCTTCACCGGGACCTGATGTTGCAAAGTCGCTTACTATTTGGGACTCGCCTTCCTTAATGTTACCGACACATGAGGCGGTCAGGGAAATTCTATCTACACTTGATGAAGATTTCGCGGGGATGTCTCTCAACCCAACTAGTAAAGAGCCTAGAGTCTGACGTGATGACTATCCTATTCATGGCTTGGACTTTGCCCAGACAGTGACTAAGTTGGATGAGGAGATAAAACTAGCTCTTCCTCTGTTTCCTCTTATAAAGTTCAGGATGCAAGGGTATCTGCTTTGGACTTGGAACTTAAGCGTATGCTACGCTCTATATCGGCATTGGCGTCAGCGACTGATGCCATTACTCAGGACCTTAAGGAAGTTAATCCTGATCGACTGTATCATCTCTCAACTATGATGCTGTGGCAGGGCAAGGTGTTCACTGACCTTCGTGAGCACCTTAGCTATCGCGTGCGTCATCCGTCAGCAAGGCTTTCTCTCTTTCTCTTCATGGGATTCGGAGTTTCAACGCAAGTTATTCCACCAACCCTGGTCATCGTAGACACTGTTTAACAACGCTATTCATGACATTTATCGGGAGGTGTGTGAATTTGCCAAAGGTGAGACATTTCTGAAGGCTTTCCAAAATGGGCAACGCCCTTCCTCTATGCCATCCAACACCTACCAGTCTCGACGACCGTCTGTTCGGCATGCCAGGAATCCAGCGTCGTCTCGTGGCAGGGGATGTGTTGCCACGGCTAGATCAGACAGGGTGGGATATCAACGTCGCCGTGCTCCCGCCCATGGCGGAGGGCGTCGGGGCAAGTGAAGTGAGGGACATGCACGACTGGACACTCCCACCTCCAGAAGTCCCAGTTTATCCTACACCGGTAGGTGGGAGAATAGGGATCTTCTCGGGAAATTGGTCAATCCTAGGGGATCCATACGTCACCGATATATTGAGGCAGGGGTTTCGACTCCCCCTCCTCTCCGATCCACCTCTGACGCTATCTCCGCAACGGCACAATCATTCCCAGATTCAACACGACCTCTTAGCAGAGAACATAGCTATTCTGTTGGAGAAAAGAGCCGTCGAATTACTCCCGCATCCCGTCACAATGCCAGGGTTTTATTCTCCAATATGCTTAGTTACGAAGAAAGGGTCCACGAAAATGAGGATGATTCACAATCTGTCCTATTTCAACGAGACTTTCCTGGAACGTCATCCGCACTTCCGAATGACGTCCCTCGAATACCTCAAATCGATGGTATGCGTCAACGACTTCCTCATCAGCCTGGATCTTCAGGATGCATACCTTTATGTTCCAATACGCCCCAGCGACAGGAAGTACCTGCGCTTTTATTTGAACAATCAACATATCCAATGGGCTGTCCTCCCATTTGGAATTTCAACGGCCCCATGGTTGTTCACACGTATCACAACTCCTGTTTCCCGGTATCTTCATTTGAGGGGCATCAATTTCGACCCGTACCTGGACGATTGCCTTATGCACCTGCTGGACCATCTGCTTCTTGTACAACAATGTGATTTCACCCTTCGTCTATTGCGGCAACTAGGTTGGCTTGTCAACCTGGACAAATCGGAGCTTGTCCCACCTCACACTCTGACATTCAACGGAGGCCATTTCCAGACGGACAAGAACCTTGTTCAGATTCCTCTGGACAGGTGGGACAAGATTCAGTCTCTGATTCCACGTGCGCACTCCGAACCCCTGTCTCTCCGCGAGTGGCAGGCACTCCTGGGATTGTTGACGTCAGCGCAGGACCTTACCAGCACATTATCAACGGTTTTGTCTTCCGCCTCAGTTACATCCTTACCTTCTTTGGTGGACTCGCTCATTGAACGTCTTAGGAAGAGTCTCTTTGGCAGAACGGTCACCGGATTACCAACTGTTCGTCGACGCCTCCGTGCAAGGTTCGGGCGCTCACTTACACGACCAGGCGGCCGCCTGCCTTTGGTCGGGTCAACACCAGAGCTGGCACATAAACAGTCTCGAATTGGAGGCCGTGATACTTGCTATCCATCCATCCATTGCGTATCGGCTACGAGGAACTTGTCTTCTGGTGGCCACAGACAACACCACGGTGGTATGGTACATCCGGAAGCAAGGGTCGCCACGCTCACAGTTTCTTCTCTATCAGACCTTCCGTCTCTTTCAACTGGTCGACGATCTCCACCTTCTGTTGAGAGTTCGGCATATTCCTTGTTGCAAAATCATATTAGCAGACACTCTCTCGAGACCCGACAGAGTTGCTCCCACGGAATGGATGCTACACAAGGAGGCTTTCATGCGCTGGGTTCTCCAAACATATATAGAGCTATTTGCCACCGGTCAAAACCATCAACTGCCAGTGTATGTGTCCCTAGTACCGGATCCAGTGGCAGGCGCGGTGGATGCTCTCAGCCTTCGTGGGAGGGGCTTCACGTGTATGCGTTTCCACCGCCGGTTCTCTTACCCAAGGTTCTTTCAAAGGAGACGACTTGCCTTTGACTAATTTTGGTCGCGCCTTGGTGGCCGGCCAGGAAATGGTTTCCCATTCTAAAAAGTCTAGTGGTAGGAGATCCCTTTCCTTTACCGTTCTCGTGCATCTTCACAGCCATCTTCCGCATCCTGCTCAAGAATTGTTAAATCTGCACGCATGGACCGTTTGCAGAAAGCACTGCATGCTAAGGGGTTTTCGGCCAGTGCAGCCAAAGCCATTGTGACGGCACACAGAACTTCTACTAGACACTTGTAAGTGGCAGTCGTTTGAGCGATTTTGTGTCACCAGGAAGCAGGATCCGCTGAAAGCGTCTCCTCAGTTCTTAGCAGATTTCATACTTTATCTCCGAACATCCAGGCGTTTGAAGGGAGGCACCATTGCCACGTATTTGGCGGCAATTAGCTCAGTTTTAGCGGTCCCCACTGACAGAAGGATTTCCAGTATCCCAGAATTACAGGCCATGCTTCGTTCTTTCAAACCTGAAGATCAGAAATTGATCTCAACACTGTGTTAGACCATCTACGTGGTGCACCTTATGAATCAATTGAGAACGCTCCCCTCGATGATTTGTCTTTAGCGACAGTGGCTAGAGTGAGTGAGGTTCACGCCCTCGACGTGACTAGGGTCAAGTTTGAGCGTCGTCGTCATGGTTCTGTGCACTTGGGTCTGTGTTGGGATTTCATCGCTAAAAAACAACTACCAGGTCAACCTAATCGGCAGTTTTCCATTCCACCATAATCATCTATTGTTGGCACTGAAGATGATACTGAGTTGCTCTTATGTCCGATTCGTGCGCTCAAAACTTACATTGACCACACCAAAGGCGTCCGTGGCACACAGAAACGGTTATTTCTTCCCCTATCCCGAACGTCACAATCAAATGTCAGCAAAAACACAATTTCCTTATGGTTGAGAACGACCATTCTTCAGGCATATAAAGCGGCTGGGTTGGACCCTCCTACGTCCTCTCATCCACACGAGATTCGTGCGTTTGACTTCACAGTAATTGTACTGTGTCATCCATTATGCAAGGTTGTTTTTGGTGGTCGTACACGGTTTTTGCCAGTCATTATTTGCGTGACATGGCTGTCAAGGACGTTAACGATGTCCACAGCTTCGGGCCATAGGTGGTTGCTCAGCAACTCGCCATCCCCCGAAGAAAGTGACTCTCCTGCCTTGTGTTTTCTTCCCACGGACCACCATGTGGGGAATGAGTTGTTTTCTGCAGAAACAACTAGGTATGTTAAGGAGTTATCCTTGTGTTTTCAAGTCCATGCTTTTTACTGCATTCCTTAAGCTTCGCCAGATTTAAAATTAGTGGTTCTTTTCATTTATAAATCGATCTTACTTGCGAATTACCACTGCCTGATCGTCACTCGCTGATTCGCTCTCTGTTCTAGGCGCATTACCAACGCTTCCCGAGCACGGGATTTACGGATTGAGCTGGCTAATATTATGTAAGCAAGGCGATCCCTCAGATTACACGCCCACCTTTTAGCCTGTCGGATAAAATGCAGGAAGTAAGTAGTGCAGGATTAGTTAAAAATTTAGTAAAATCTAAATATCTTTTATATTTGTAAACTTATCCTGAACTACTTATGATAAGGGCCCACCCTGCGCTATCAGCTACGTCCCCGCTTTGTGTGCCTTCTGTGGGATTTCTGGCAATAATCTGAGGTGGCTGACGTCACATTCTGGTGTCGCATGCGCAGACGAGTAGCAGCCAAGACCAGGAAGTGATTGCAGTTCTACGTCTTTTAACATCGTCTGGCAAGCCACGCTTTTCGACCCGTAAGCAATAAGTGCAGGAAGTAAGTAGTGCAGGAAAAGTATACAAATAAATATTTAGATTTTACTAATATTATGTCCACGTCTTTTGGTTTGATTCCCTTAATATTTTAGGGGAGATTTTTATGAAATTGTGTGCTGTCTGAACTCTTCGTTCAGCATTCTTCCATTCGTTCATGCAGATTAAAAATCGTATGTATTGAACCGAAAATTAATATTAAATTAGAAATCTCCAGCCTCTTCATATCACCACCGAAAATGAAATGATGCCTTACCTGCGTCATCTCTCAAATGGAACATAAAGACGTGATTTACTAGGAAGATATTCACTGGAAGCACCCTCTCATTGCTTCGTGAAATTGATATTACAATATTCAAACGAGTATACATTTAATTTCGTGTTAGATGCTGAGAATTAACTTAATTCCATATTTTTGTATAAAACACTCGTTAAAATGGATGCATGTCGATGCAGGGTTCTGAGGACAAGTGTTTCGACAAGCGACTGACTTGGAAGCAAATGCGAGAAGTTCTTTCTGGTAAGTATGCTGTTTGTTTGTTTGTTATTAAACGTCTCCCTCAGCAATATTCCAGCTTTATGTCGGCGGTCTGGAAATAATCGAGTCTGGACCAGACAATCCAGTGATCAACATCATGAGCATCGATTTACGCAATTGTGATACGATGACATGTGACAACCAAATCAGCTTGCCTGAAATTATTGCTTTGTTTGACTCTTCAGTTCTTTTACGGCCTGATTTCTGGTTTAAGTTTTAGTTTCATCTTAGAAATCAACACATAACGAAATCCAAGAACACTTAAAACATGGATAATGACATACACTCTATGTAGTAAATACACTCTAATTCGTGTTGAACATTGGTGTTAAGTGCTGTTTTCCACAAACACCAAGTCAAAAAGGGCAGTGTAGGTTCATGTATCGCATAATGTACATGGTATTATCTAATGCTGTGTGCATATTTCAGAGCTCATTTCAAGTTCAACGTTCATTCAAGGAAAACTGTTTTGAGACATATGCCATTTTTGTTTTTTCACCCAATGCATGTTTAATGTTTTTTTCAGACTGGAAAGTCTTCGAACGTTTTGTGGAGAAGATTGTGTCTCGGAGAGTAACAGATACCGAATGTCTTGATTATTACAAAAACGAAGTGAACAACAAAAAGGAAAAAGACACGACAGGCACGATCAGATATTACCGATACAGAAGAATGGAAGAAGATAGGGAAGGGTCTAAGGAATACACAGATAGACATGAGGGAGAAGAATTTGAAGAACTCTGGGGCCACACAGTTCTACATTTAGTAGTATGTGCTAATAAGACAAAAACAGCTACAGCAATTTTGGAAGATACCCAGGATCTTATCGACACCGACATTGGTGCTTGGCCCGATACGAGGGACGCTTACAAAGGACTGACACCCTTCCTCATTGCAGTTGCCCAGGGTAATGATCTCTTGGTAAAACTCATGCTGGAAAAGGTTTCAAAGAAGCAATGTGACTGGATTGGTAAACGAATGAACGGAACTGTATTCATGGGGCAGTTACCGTTCCACACGGCTGTCTTGTGCTACATGAACGACTCAAACAAATACGATACATACAGGGAACCAGAGAATAGATTTGTGAAAATCATGGAATTACTTGCGGAAAAAGCGGATGTTTTCAAAGAGCAGAACTACAGAGGAGATACAGTTCTCCATAGCATCATGCGATTTGTAAACTGCTTCCCTGCGTGTGAGGAACGCACAGTAGACATGATGTCATATTTGGAGTCATTAATGGAAAAAACGGCAAGGGATGCTGGAGAAGATGTTATTGACTACAAAAAAAAGCTATTTTTTACACAAAACAAAAATCACATGACAGCACTTCAGCTTGCAACAGAAAGCGGTCACATTAAACTGTTTGCCTACTTATTCAAAGTTAAAGGAGTCTATCTCATTGAACATCCCCACGATGAACTCTACGAGATACGACGCTTTGATGTGACTGAGATGGACAAAATTGCATTGATTGAAGCTCAGAAGCCTCTGTCTGTGGAAGCTCAGAAGCCTCCACCACCGACGGACAAAATGGGGTCTGACGATAAAAAGGTATACCCAGGGTATAAACAGACACACTCCCCTGGATCCACAGATGCCAGGTCAAATGACGTTGAACGTGACAAGGGAAGTGGTCAACCCAGAGTTGAAAACGGTTCCTTTGCTAACAATTTTGTTGCTGAGCTACTCTGTTGTCAGAGACTACCAGTGGCAACTGAACTGGTTCGTGGAGATGTTTTTGAAGAAATGGTTCGTCGTAAAATGGATGCATACGGGTGTCCCTTACTGTTTCTGGGTTTATTCCACGTCTCTCTGATTTGTTTGCTGTGTGTGTATGTTGTTGCCAGAGCTGGTGTTACTGAAGGAATATACTGGCCAAGTGGATTTCTTGAATTCTGTAACATTCTTACTTTTGTATGTTCTATTTTGTACTTTGTACAAGAATTCCCACTTCGAGTTTGGTTTGCGAAGCAACCATTTGCATGGACAGCGGTGCACCACAATGTTGTGTATAGGGTTACCTTTGTCCTGTTTGCTACTTTTTTATTTGCTGACTTTATATTTTACAGGATACCTAATTCACTTTTTGCTGACTACAAAAGCACGTTTCTTGTGTTGGCTATAATTGTAGGTACATGGCCAATATTGTTCTTCCTGCGATTATTCAGACGTTTCAGTGTGTATGTTGTACTTTTGAATGAGGCTTTGTTTACAGCTGTGGTGCCGTTTGCCGTCTTAATCCTGATGCAGGTGTTTGTTTTCACGGCTTGCATGCATGCATCGTTTCTACACAATGAAGCAAATGCTACTGTTGTAGATGACTTTTCAGATTACGGTATGTCATTGCTTACCATGGGTAAACTGATGGTTGGATTAACAGAAATTGATCAGCTGCTGAAATCCCGCGAAGATGGGATAATATTATTTCTCTTTGCTCTGTTTATATTGATCATCTTTCTGCTGATGATCAATGCCCTCATAGGCGTAATGACCAATCGATTTCAGGACACCCAAACAAACAATGAAATGGTTTGGCGGTTACAAAAGCTATCAGTCATCATCTTTATTGAAGGTTGGTATTCTGAACTGACCTCAAAACTACCAAATAGATTCCCAAGGCTTGGGGTTGATCCTGAAGTATCAATTGGTGAAAATACAGATGAAGGCATCCAATCAGCTGCTGGTGGCTACTCTCAAAAGAGATTTGTGATGTCTTACAGGAAGGTTCGAAGCAATACAGCAGATTATCCAGCAAATACTGAGCATATTCTCCGAAAACAGGTGAAAAAGAGCGAGGAACTTAATACTAAAATGGATAGGTTATTGGATTTCCAAGAGTCCGAGAGTTATGATGGAACCAGAGCCTTGCGAATTTACCATTATCAGTACTAGTTCATACGCGAGCACTGGTGCGATGGCACTATCAACAAACTCACCAAGCCGGCTCTTCAGTATTGACCACACGTCAGAATGCGGCAGATGTGACTACTTTATGATACCATTATATGCCAGAGCGAGCGGTTACCTACTCAAACAAACAACCCCCCACCTGAAGGCTATCTGTATTCGGAATCTTCATGATGTAGTCGAAAAGAAAGAATCGTCTCTTTGTTCAACAGATACATTTGATATAAATTAACGGGAATTTGTTTTGATATTCTAATTTTAGAATTTACAATTTTAGAACTCTTTCTTTGATATTGGTTTAGATTCCACAGAATGTAGAATATTCTGTCTGTGTTGTAATAATCTCTTAATAGATACATTTTTTATGGTATATGTATTCTGTTATTCTGGTTTCTTTTGTTCCAAACAACAATCTGAAAGCCACGCAACATGTTTTCTGGATCAAATTGAATATGGAAGCAATGACGCTATTTATATGAAAAACAAATAACACAAAGATCCATAGTTAAAACACCTTTGATATCAGCTGCGGACATAAGTACACATGGAGATGAATCAGAAACATTGTTTAACGTTGGACAGAAAGCGTGGAATTCGTGGGTTGTCAGCACTATACACAAATTTAGTGTTTGTGGGTTTTATCAGTGTAGAAAAGGACTATACGTTTATATCATTTCTAGCTGCCACTCTGCGGTTTACCATTACAAGGGATACTTATTTCACAGCTTCATCCACGTTGGATCTTTCAAATAGAGTTCATTTGCATTTAATCTTTTATTTTGTAAGAAAAAATGGAATGAATTACAAAATTTTGATTGATATGTTCTGTAAATAGATCTGTTATTACAGAATTAGTAGATTAAATTAGCAAACTTGTATTGTTAGTGGCTCTATCCTCAAAGGGAGTTAAATTATTGTAAAATTATTGTCCTCCTGAGGGGGTATATAAAACAAGTCTTTCATTGTAAATGTAAGGCTACAAGGTTTTTAATCGTAGAATGTATGTCACATAAATTTGTGGTTGGCTTTGTCTATAATCGCCAATAGCTGAGGGGATGGTGTAAATCCAGCTAGGGTCCATGCAGGTAGAAAAAGTACTGAAAGTTCCCATGGTCTCTAGAATTGTGATCTATCTTCAGTTGTTGGCGATCTAAAGGCCGTTTTAATATTGTATTGTTGTTTAGAGTAATATGCTTTAATGGTTATGCATTAGTTTATTAAACGGTAGTAATAAATGTTAGCTTTGGATATTCTGACATTCTTTGTGGAAGAAGCTAGGACTAGGAAGAATGAAAATAGTGGCTAAAACATCGTTTCACTTGTTTAATGCATGTTATCACATTGTTATGATGTATAGTAGATATCATGCATGTGTTTCTTTGTAGCATGCTCGGCTCTACATTAAATGCCTTGAAATTCTTTAACGCCCTTTTAATGTTTCTTTTACTTTTTCTCCCCAAAATATACTCTTCAAAAAAGAAACGCATATAGGAATTACAACTGTATTTTTATGTTTATTTTGAAACATCTTGTAGGCGTTATGAGTCAATGGAATATAGCGAAATTGCACACTTGGAATGCAGACGTATCCGTCTGTGGCACCAACGCGAGGAAAGTCAGTTTGAGCGTCACATGGAGACATGTGGTGGCGCTGAAGTCAATACCTCGTGTGACCACCGTGGGCATCCACAACTGCACGGCATCGCCTCGGCATCGAACGAATAAGTCTCAGAATCTCGTGTTGCCCAATCGCAGCCCACTCTGCCTGTAGTGCCTGTGCGAGTTGCTGAAGTGTCTGGGGCTGAGGGTTACGGCATCGCACCCGTCTGTCCAGGGCATCCCATAGATGTTCGATCGGGTTTAAGTCCGGTGATCTTGAGGGCCAGGGGAGCACATTGATGTTGTGGTTCTGGAGGAAGTCTCTAGTGTGACGTGCTGTGTGGGGCCTGGCATTGTCCTGTTGAAACAACTCCCTCTGGCGATCAATGATTGGAAGGAAGTGTGGGCGTAGGATTTCGTCACTTCTCCTACGGCAGGTGATCACTCCCCACATCATAACACTTCCCCGGCCGAATCTGACCACCTGGGGAACGCAAGCGTCGGCGAAACGTTCACGTCGACGTCTGTACATCTGCATTCTTCCATCGCTTCGTTCCAATAGAAATCGTGATTCATCACTGAACCAGATTCTACGCCCATTCGGTAGGTTCCAGGCCTGAACGTTGGTGCACCATTGAACTCGATGTCGACGATGTTGTTGTCGAAGCACAGGGCCAAAATAAGGTCTTCTGGCACGTAAACCAGCCTCTCTCAACCTGTTCCTGACGGTCTGTGCAGAAAGCCTCCTCAATCCGGGTATTTGTCGAGCGGTACTGGTCGCCGTAGCTGTTCGATGAGGCAGGTGATGTACCCGGATGTCGGGGATTATACATATAGCCTTGGGTTGGTTAAAGTAATGAATACCATATATCTCGCTCCAAAAAACCACAGTTATATTCTCGTACACTGGGATGGGTTCGAAGGGGCTGTAAGGTTTAGTCCTTGAGTAAAAGACACGGGTTCGATTCCCATCATTTGCAAGTGTACGAATATATTGAGTTCCCTACAGTCTTCTATATTACAAGGGGTCCTCCCTTCTCGCACATGTCGGCAGATTGTGTTGTGCCGTCTGCTCTGAACAAATGGATTATGCTCTCATCAGACCTTGGGCGACAATCAATTGGACTGCCCAACGTTTACGCGAACGACGATGTTAACTTGTTAGGGTCATTCGGTTCAGATACCATGTTCTTGAAGTCGGCGACTGATGGCACGTCCAATAACAGCCTGTGAACATGACGTCATGGCGAATAAACTGTCACCTGGGTGTAAGGAAGTAATAAAATAGTCCGTTTTGTTTAAATGAGAACGATGAATGATACCTCGAAATAGGGATAAGTGCACAAAACATAAATAAGACACATGGTCCTGAAACCTCTGTACCTAACACTGTCTGAAATCTGACGTTTTTTGATCGATCACGGAAAAAGCTGTTTATGAAACTATCATGTAATATTGTGCTATTTTCACGCTTCACACCGAGGGGTGACAAACGGCTGGTGAAACAGTACCAGCACACAGTCAGCACAGCCAGGTGAGATGACCCCAGCCAGTCAGGTGATATTCCATCAGTCCTTTGTCATCCCCCGGTGTGAAGCATGAAAATAGCGAAAAGTGACAACAAAATAATGATCGTGATGTAACTATGCAAAATTTGGTTTTGTTGCAATTTTTAGATTTTGTGTAAGTAAGCAATTCATCGGTCTCAAATGAACTCAAACGGACTGCAATGAACAGTGTTCATGTTGCTTGACTTAAGAATCACATAAATTCTCCTGCCGTTTTTTTGGTCCCTGTCTAACAGGAGCTATTCGCCTATCATTTGTTCCTATACAACAACGTAGCCCGTCAACATCCAGGTACCTATACTGTAAATCCATCACATGAATCTTTTACCAACTTTATGAACGCAAATTGTCAATCAACTATTTTAAATCTTGGGAAATATGTATATATTGCTTTTAAAACTTTATGGTACACTACATAAATACTTGTAACAGTAGTAGAAATTGTATTTACTAATATGCTTTGTACATACACTAAACGCCAAAAGAAACGTTACCCTCATACCTTTATGAATTACTTGAAAACTATCAAAACTATTTAGAAGGCATTAGTTTACAAGAAAGTTTAACAACACAGCTTTATGTAAATCACGAAAAGAAATTCTCAAATGCATGCCGCCATTCATATTCAGGTGAAATGCATCTTTTTCAGAAGAGTTAAATTGTCCTGCTTTCGCCCATGCTGAAATAAACCAATAACAGTGATTCAGATGTTGAAAGGTTGAAATAACATTCTGCTTTGAGACAAAGATAAACCATTTAAATTCACCATTTTTCAACTATTAAAACAAGAAACAACTGTTGTAGAGTGTGTTAAATTGTAAAATAATCATTCCTATGATTTCAGTCTTTTAAAACAATTTCTGCTGATTTGCATTAGTGAAAACAAGTAAAACGCGTCTTTGATATTGTGAAAAAATGTTTAGGAAATCTTAAATTCTTTGTTCACTTGTTTGCTTGCAAAGTAACATTTTTCCATTTTCTGTTTACACATAGCAATGGCAACCTCCAAAACGTAGCAATATTCAAGCAGTACTTGCCTCCATTTCATATAGAATGATTCTATGGGGTATGAAGAGAGCCTAGAATACATGATATGATACACGAGTACGAGAAATATGCCACGATTAACAGCTGAGGAGAGAAAAGGTGCCATTGGGATGGTGCAGATGCTGTTGCCAATGCCCTCAGATACCACCGTAGCACGGTTAAAAGACTTATTCAGGGCTTCAGACAGACTGAGGTCAACGACGATAGACCAAGAGGTGGACGTCCACGCATCACAACTCTAGCTGAAGATAGGTACCTCCATCATTAAGGAAGGAGGGTAACGTTTCTTTGGCGTTTAGTGTATATAGCAGTATACATGCAGTTTTGGGACAAGTGTTTATATGATGCTTTTGTAAAACACATTTTGTTTATGTTACAAGTGTATTATCCTATGGGCCTGTGGCCTCTTTGACAGAAATAAAATATATGTAACATCACGGTTAGAATTAATCTTCAGCAACCCATGCTTGTAAGAGGCGACTAACGGGATCGGGTGGTCAGGCTCGCTGACTTGGTGGACACATGTCATCGGTTCCCAACTGCGTAGATCGATGTTCATGATGTTGATCCAGACTCGATTGTTCAAAGACCACCACCATATAGCTGGACTATTGCAGAGTGCGGCGTTAAACAACAAACCAACCAACCAAAAATAAGAAATGGTACCTATTCATGCATGTTCTTCCCCAAGGAAGTAGGTAGGTAAAAGGAGCGTCAATCGCCATCTTGCAGTCTTGTTTACATCAATGGGTTGTCAACCAAGTCAGCGAGACTGACCACACGATCCCGTTAGTCGCCCCTTACAAATGGGTTGCTGAAGAACAATTCTAACCCAGATCGATTATGACATCGATACAGAGGATACAGATAACCATAGTTTGTAGTTTGTAGTTTGGGCAACATTTCTCAGGGCTTCAAAACCTATATTTTTTCTGTCTAAAGATCCAAACAATTTTATATACCCTGAGCATGGGATATTTTAGAACATCCAGCATCTCCTGCGAACAATGTATCTATTAATTATCGAATTAATTATGTTCTGTTTATCAATTTCAAAACAAGATACCAGATATGCGGACACTAGATGTTAAAGACATTTTATTTTAATTCATCATCAAGCAAATACACGGTTGGTTGGCTTTTTTCCCATATTTATTGCCATGTAGTACATCCATATTTTTTAGGTCATACACCGGCTTATGTTATCTGAGAGAGTGAATAAGATTTTACACAACTTTCAGCAATTACACATTAAATTTATCCGTGTGGCTTCCCTTCACGGCTAGTAGGCCATCGTCACGTTTGAATGTATTACTCCTTTGCTTAGTCGAACCACATTTGGCGACACCTGAGGAGCACAGTCGCTATAGGAGAGTTTCCTTCCATCGATTTTCACCTGAAAACAAAACTTGTTCATGCTTTAACTGTTGAAAGTTAATAGAAATACAAATATTATTAATGATATTCCAAATTTTGATGGAGATGGA